CCCCCCAGGGACAGTCTCACTGGGAGAGAAGGTCTCCTAGAGATCTACGCACAAAGCCCCTGACCTCTCTACTTTGGGCACCTCACAGGAACAGCATCCATGCCCCAGTGCTTCATTGCTCCAGGTCGCTCTACCTGTGGCAGCAAGGCAGCCCAGATGCTGGGGTCAGATACACTAGGGACAGTCTGCCTTCTAGTCCCAGCCCCTCAAGTCATAACCCCAAGTCATGAGACCCCTCCTCCTTTGCATGGGAAACTCAGGAAAGCCAGAGAAAGCAGATTTGCAGTTCCCAAATTAAACTCACGGTAGATACGTAGATTGTAATGCTGCACGGTGGAGATGTGGGACGTCCTCAGGTTGACTTGAGCTTGGTAAGGCCCCGAGTCCTCCCAGCTCAGATTGCTGATGTGCAGAGAGTAGCTGGGATTCAGGAAGCTCACTCGACCCTGGTAGCGAGGGTTGATCACCGTGGTGGTCGCTGCATGTCCCTCCTTCCCTGGCACCACAACAGCAAGCTTTATGTTGGAGGACCAGATGATGTTCTCAACCTCTTCATCAGATGGTATTTCCAGGGGGAGACTGATGGACTCCTGAAGGACTGCAACCACTTCCTCAGGATCCACACCATCTCCAGAATCTCCGTTGGCTGCAGATAAAGGAAAAAAGAGGGTGCAAATAGACCAGCTAGTGTGTCTGGACTGCTGAGACTGGTGACAGGGCTGTGATTTCATTCTCAGTTGAGCAACTGCTGTGCCCTGCACTCAATCTTGTCCTCCAGCTTCCTCTTCTGGCTTTAGCTTTCTGCTAAACCTTATTTGAGCACCTACCAGGGGTTGGCTTCCATCTGTGCCCTCACCCTCCAAATTTTACCTTCTCTGTTTGCAGTGATGGGGCTACTTTCCCTTCCGTATCTCCAGGTTTCCTCATCTCTTGGTCCTGCCCTGAAGAAATACCCAATTCCTCTTTACTACAGAAGAGCTGAAGCATTCAGCCCAAAGGCTAGCCCAAGGCTCAACAGATCAAAACAGAGGGTGGAGGGCACACTGTTGCCCCGGAGCTGCAGGCTCTCTCACCTCCCTGGAGCAGCAAGAGCAGGAGCAGCCAGGGAAGGGCCTCCATGTCAGCAGCCCTGCCCCGGAGGTGTGACTTGGTCAGTGCCCAAGGCTGTGAAGAAAACAAGCTGACAGGAGGTTACTAAAGACAGTGACTGACTGACAGCCCTGAGGAGAGGAAAACAATTCTCACCCTATATCCAGCCCTCTGACTTCCTCCTTTCTCACAAAGCTCTTCCCCCTCCATCGTAGGAAGACTTCCCTCTCTGAGCCTCACTGTCAAGATGGTTTACCCACTGACGTTTCTTGTCCATCGACTCAACTCAGATCCCACTTCGCAAGTGAAGCCTTCTTAGACTCCCCACCCTCTGTGTTTCCAGACCCACCAGACATACCACCTCTCCCAAACTCTTAGAAAGCTTTCTCTCCAGCCTTGGCAGCTGTGGTCATTTGATTTTATAAACGTCTTTATCTCCCTAGACAGATCCATCTTTTGGAACATCTCTGTATGTCCCACTCATTCTGGCTCCCACGCTAGACACAAGTAGCTCAACTGATATTTTTGGAATGGATGAACGAATGAAGTCTTTCTATTTCAAGCTAGTTACATTCCCAATTGAGAGACTTATTCAGAGGAAGAAAAGCTTTACCCTCTTAAAAAAAGCAATTTGTACCAGATGGCTGATTGAGATTGTTAATATTATGGAAAGACTTTAAATCATTTTGTGAGGATATAGTGTGGATCAAATCTGACTGAGCCTGGCCAGGCGTGGCTCAGTGGTTGAGCATTGACCTAAGATCCGGGAGATTGAGGTTCGATTCCCGGTCAGGGCACATGCCCAGGTTGTGGGCTCCATCACCAGTAGGGGTCGTGCAGGAGGCAGCTGATTAGTGACGGATCTCTCATCATTGATGTTTCTATCTCTCTCTCCCTCTCCCTTCCTCTCTCTGAAATCAATAAAGAAATATTTAAAAAAAAATCTGACTGAGGTTGAGTGCAAGAAATAAAAAATATTTCTGATGGTCAGAGCTGTCCAGGAGTTTTGGCCTCTGGCATTCTAGCTAAGATCGCTCGACTGGATATGCTGCAATGCTTCCGGCACTAGATGCTGTATAGGTGTAGATGTGAACAAAACCAGCTTCATCTTTCTATCTTAGAGTTGTCACGCTGTAATGTTTGACCAACCTTACTGTCCTTAGCAAGCATGTCAAAGGTATCTAGTTGATGATGATCTGTATCCCTTAAAACATAGCCATAAATATTTTTGTTTGTCACAGCCAGAGTGGCATGAGAACCAAGAAAGTATCAAACATGACGGTGTCAATTATAAGCAATCATCTATAACAAGACCACCAGGAGGTTTGGCCCCTGGCACTACTGCATTCTTGGTCTTATCAATCATTTGTACCTGAGGTACACTATTTAAAAAGTACTGTAGCCCGGCCGGGCGTGGCTCAGCAGTTGAGCGTCGACCTAGGATCCAGGCCCTCGGGATTAGATTCCCTGTCAGAGCACATGCCCAAGTTGTGGGCTCGGTCCCCAGCGGGGGGGCATGCAGGAGGCAGCTGATCAATGACTCTCTTATCATTGATGCTTCTATCTCTCTCTCCGTCTCCCATCCTCTCTCTGAAATCAATAAAGATATATTTAAAAATATATAAAAATAAAAATAAAAAGTACTGTAACAGGAGTCTGGAGAATAATTTACACAGAACTGCTGAGTTATTTGTCTGCTCCAACCCTATATTCCAGTGAGTAAATTACCCTAGAATAAATCCTATTATATCCTAGGGAGTTGCTCGCACCATCTTTCCATCTGAAGATTCCTTCTCATTACCATGGCCATTACACTTTTGCCCCACCGTTGGGCAGAGAAGTACTCAGACTAGATACTCTTTAAGTTTCTTCTAATAACCGATTCTGTGAGTCTGTGCTATGATGAGGAAGAAAGAGTGGTGTCTCGAGACCAAGAACACAGTGGAGACATCTGCTCCTGTGCCAACATTTCATACCTTTAGGTTAGCAAACTCAGCACTCAAGTATTTATTGAGCAGCTTGCATGACTCAGATACTGTCCTAAGTGGTGGGGGGTTAGCAGTGACCATGAATTTTAGATCATGACTTCATGGAGAACATAGGCTAACAACTGACAACAGACAAGCAACTGCAAGTTTGATGAGTCCTACCAAAGGAAAAACTGGGGGGAGCCTACAACAAGGGGATTTGGCAAAGTTCAAGCCAGGAGAGTGGGGAAAAGCTTTCAGGGAGAAATGATATTTAAGCTGACACCTTAACAATGAGTAGGCTCTCTTAAGTGAAGAAGACAATAAAGTACAGCGGAACCTCGTTTTCAAGTGTAATCTGTTCTGGAAGACCGTTCGAGTTCTGAAACATTCAAAAACCGAGGCGTGGTTTCCCATAGAAAGTAATACGAAATGGATTAATCCGTCCCAGACCTTTAAAATCAACCCCTAAAACAGCAATTTAACATGAATTTTACTATCTAATGATACCGCAGGTCCATAAAATGATACACGATGAAAGCAATAAGCACAATATACTGTACTGTAAAAGCAATAATAAATAAACACAATGTAAAAACAATATAGATGATAAAAATGAAAACGTAATTCTTTCTTACCTGCAATGATGATAGTCATGGTTTGGATGGGGGGGGTCCTCATCCAGAATCACAGTAGGTGACTGTTGCTCAGGTGTTCTGTGGCCCTCTTCCAGAATCACAGTTGGTGACTGTTGCTCAGGTGTTCTGTGGCCCTCTTCCAGAATCACAGTAGGTGACTGTTGTTCAGGTGCTCTGTGGCCCTCTTCCAGAATCACTGTAAGTCACTCCTCTCCTGCCATTCCTTTCCTTGATTTTTTTACACCATTGACACCTGGTTCAGACTCACTGGATCTTTTCCTCACTAAAAATTTTTCAATTGACATTTGCTTTTCCCAATGTTTTAAAATTTGTCTAAAGTGAGACATAGCATTACCATTGAAAGTGTTAGCGGCATGACTTACAGCAGCTTTATCAGGGTGATATTTTCCAATAAAATTTGCACTTCAACCCAGTTTGCACACATTTCTTTGATCAGTGCAATAGAAACACTTTCTCTTCCCCCCTCCTCTTCTGAAGACAGTTCCTCAATTGCCACCTGCTGCTGCTCTGTCAGAACGCTTGGAAGGTCTTCCATGGTGCTTTCAGTCTCGTGGTCCCCACTGACCCCTCCACATCATCGCTACTCACTTCCAAGCCCGTGGACTGCCCCAGAGACACAGTATCCTCAACAACGGGAGCATCCTCTTCAACACCCTCAGTTACACGTTCAGGGACAGCTTCTGGCCACAATTTCTTCCATGCTGACTTCATTGTTCTGTGAGACACAGCCCTCCATGCTTTGTCTATGAGATGTAAGCAATGTAGGCTATTGAAATGATTCTTCCAGAACTCTCTGAGGGTTAGCTCTGTGTCCGTGGTCACCTCAAAGCACCTTTGGAACAGTGCTTTGGTGTAAAGCTTCTTAAAATTAGATATGACCTGCTGGTCCATGGGCTGGATGAGTAGAGTTGTGTTGGGGGGCAAAAACTTTACATTGATAAAACAACTCTTCCATCAACTCGTCCTCCCAGCCTGGAGGGTGAGCTGGAGCATTATCCATAACAAGCAGGCACTTCATTGGAAGATTTTTGTCTTGGAGGTGTTTTGTTTTATTGTTTTGTTTTGTTTAGCTTTTAAATTGGAGATTTTTTTTTTTTTTAAATATATCTTTATTGATTTCAGAGAGAGAGAAACATCAATGATGAGAGAGTCATTGATCAGCTGTAGCCCATAACCTGGGCATGTGCCCTGACCGGGAATCGAACCCCAATCTCCTGGATCCTAGGTCAATGCTCAACCGCTGAGCCACACCCGGCTGGGCTAGAGGTGTTTTTTTACACTTGGCCCCAACACTTCATGAGCCCACTCAATAAAAAATCGCCTGGTTACCCAAGCTTTGCTGTTTGCCTTCCACATCACATGCAGTTTGCTTTTCATGACTTTTTTTTTCTTAAATACCCTGGGATTCTCAGAATGGTAGACTAGCAAAGGCTTCAACTTAAAATCCCCACTTGCATTCCCACAAAGTAAAAGGGTCAGCCTCTCTTTCACGGGCTTGTGTCCTGGCCGTGATTCCTCCTCCTCTGTTATGTAGGTCCTCTTTGGCATTTTCTTCCAAAAGAGGCCTGGCTCATCACAGTTGAAAACTTGTTGGGGAAGGAAACCCTCTGCCTCTACATAATCTTTAAATTCCAAAACAAATGGGTCGGCGTCTTCTTTGTTGGCACTGGCAGCTTCACCATGTCGCACCACACTGTGCATGCCACTTCTCCTCTTAAACGTTTCAAACCACCCTCTACTTGCCTTGAAAATACCACTCTCAGCACTTGTTCCAACGGTGTTTTTGATGAGTTCAGCATGCAAATGTAAAGCTTTTTCACAAATCATGTTCTCAGAAATGCTGTCACCGGCCAACTGTTTTTCATTTATCCATATGAAAAGCAATTTTCCCACTTCTTCAATTGTCAGTGTTCTTTGTCTAGTATTTTAACACCTCTTGCAACATTGGCTCCTTTAATGGCTTTTTTATTTTTTAAGATGGTACAAATTGTAGATTTGGCCATACCAAACTGCGTTGCCAGATCACATACACGGACAACACTTTCATGTTTGGAAATAATTTCTTGCACCTCTATTGTTCTGTTAATGATTCTCTTGACTTTGCAGCTTTTATCCATTTCTCACAGCAAGGGGTGATTGGCAGAGGGCTCCTGAGATGACATGAACACTGATTGATTATATACAGTCACAAAAACAAATTGGTTGCAAGAGTGCTCCTGAGATGAGACGGGCACAGATTGATTGCACTCAGTCACCAAATAAGCCCAAGTATCACCTCCGCATTGTGCGGGTGCTCAGGACTCAAGAGCCAACAGCTAGGCCTCAAGGTCTTGCACTCAGCGGAAGCCACATGTCATGTTCAACTTCTGAAGCATGTTCAAAAAATGAAGCATTTCCTTCCAGG